CCAAAAAGAACGAAATAAAAGATTTGAGAGAGAACACCTGGAGCATTTTCTTGACTTCCAAAAATCCATTTTATTTCCTTGGAAAATGGCAAAAGGTCAACTACGCCGTCCCTGAACAGCTCCTCAAACACCATGACGATCTCCAGATCAAGGACGGCGACGGGACATGTGCTTCTCGACCTGGCCGTTCTCTCTGATTCACAGAAAAATTCTTGGCACTTTATTTCACCCCTATTCCTACTGAAAATTAAATATGTTTTTGGAAAATTACTTTATGCTAAATCAGCAACAATTAATATAAATCTGACGGAGTATAAGATTTCCCAGAATTCCAGGATATGAACATGAACTCAAGCAATGCACCTTGTATATTATGTTAATCAAACAGACAAACAATCAACAAGATTTATGACCTTGGCCGTTGATCAGTGAGTACGTAGTTCAAGTCTAATCTTATACTACACTACTAAGGTAAGAAAAGACAAAATCTCCTAGTAGTAAAAATCTAAAGCTCGTCTTGGTCATTGTCCTCCTCGGCGTCGTCGTCATGACCACCGCCGGAGTTCCCGTAGGCGGTGGCAAAGGCGGGGCTGCAGACATCCTCCAGCTGCTTGAGCTTCTCCACGTAGTCGTCCTTGTCGGCCTCCGGGTTGGCCTCTAACCAGTCGATGGCCTCCCTCGCCGCCTCCCTGACCTTCTCCCTGTCGCCGTCGTCCATCTTGTCCCCCAGCTCGCCGTTGGCCGTCGGCTGGGCACTGTAAATGCACGCCTCCAGCTTGTTCCGCGCGTCCACCTTGTCCCTCACCTTCCTGTCCTCCGCGAACTCCTCCGCCTCTTGCACCATGCGCTCGATCTCCTCCTGGCTGATGCTGCGGCCGGCACTGCTGATCTCGATCTTCTCTGACATGCTCGTGCCCTTGTCCGCCGCCCCCACATGCAGGATGCCGTTCACGTCCACCTCCAGGGTCACCTCGATCTGCGGCGTGCCCCTCGGCGACGGCGCGATCCCGGTGAGTTCGAACCTGCCCAGCAGCCGGTTGTCCTTGGTCATGCTCCGCTCTCCCTCGAACACTCTGATGGTCACCGTCGTCTGCCTGTCCTAGTAGGTGGTGAACATCTTGGCCCTCTTGGTCGGGATCGGCGTGTTCCGGGGGATCACGCTCGCCATCACGCCGCCGGCCGTCTCGATGCCCAGCGTTAGCGGCGTCACGTCCAGCACCACAACCTCCTTGGCGTCGCGGCGCACGAATCTGAAAAGTGGGTCTCGAGTCCTAATGCGACCGAATCTGAAAAAGTAGTTTAGAAAATTGAAAAAGATTAAAAAAATTCTGAAGCTTTTTGGAATGAAACATGATGATCAGGTATTACACCCATGTGAAAAGTTTCGAGAAGAAATAGCTTCGACCGACTGCGTGAGCAAGAAAACAAATTTGCGAGTACCAAAGCATGAATAGTAGCTTTTATATAGTCTCGATTTTGTTCTTTCCCGCCTAGAATACCATGAAAGTCATTCGTTCGCGAAACTTTTCACACAAGTGTAACACCTTATCATGTTTGACTCCAAAATGTTTCGTAATTTTTTGACTCCTTTTAAATTTCCTACTCCCTCCGATCCATAAATGTTGTCATTGATTTAGTACAAGCAAATTATTTCTTCAATTCAGGTGCATCGGCACCTGAGACCCAAAGATTCACGTCGTCGATAGGCCCGCTTGTTAGTTCATGATGGAAAAAAAGCTTTGTAGAATGGAAGGTGACTTTTAGTGGCCATTTTAATGAGATACAACCAACAATTCTGAACTTTTAATCCAAACAAATGTGAACTTTGAAACTATACATACTAGTAGCGACAAAGCCAATGAGCAGGGCGAATGGCATATTCTTCTACAAGGTGAACTTTGGCTGGACGAAGAAAAATGAAGTGGTTCGTCAACTAAAGACCATATGATTGGTTGTGTCCAAGGTTTTGGTTATCGGTCAAAATTTTAAGATTTCCCATGGTTACCACATTTTTCCGTGCCCCTTGATAAACCTCATACCGAGCAAAAAATACCCTTTTTTTGAAATTTTTGAATTTAAACGCTCCATTTGTAGTAAAATGCGTAGGATCTAATTAATGCCATGAGAGTTGATTCTGACGTGTTCGTAGCAACCTAGTTCCTGTTTTTACAGGTCTCTGGTTCGAATGTTCGTTCATTCATTTATTTGAATTCAAAATTCAACTATAAAATTTGTTCGAAATATTCTCGGTATTTCTCGGTATTTCCCGGTAGCCGTGGTAACCACGTTTACCTGTCCCCCTCGGTAAAATTGCCCCATTCGGTAACCAAAACCTTGGTTGTGTCTGAATATTGCCATCTCCTTATTGGTATCTCATTAAAACAAAAACTATCTGGTGGCAACGCAAATGCATTATTCAGCTAGTATGCACTAAACGCTCACTTTTAATCGAAACAATTCTGAACTTTTGTTTTAGGTAAACTAAAAAAAAGTCGAGATTCTTGCTCGGATTACAATGACCTGACACAAGTTCCACATGATTTAATCCCCCAAAATCAAGTAACCATGTGTGCGGACAGGAACGCGCAATATTATCCAGATCACTATTTTTGGCATAATTTTCATGAATCAATTTGACACGCTCCTTGACGACCAATTATTTCGGCATCCTGCATCTGTTCACCACCAGGTCGCATCTTATTCACAAGCTGCCTTCTGCATCTGCAGGTATGTTCATTTCACCTGCATTGCATTGCATGCACCGAAGTTGCTGGTTCATAGTCTTCTTTGTGAGTTGGCTAACTTGGCTTACCAGCTTCTTTTCAGTTGGATTAAGCTCTGCTGAGATATAGCTGCAGTAGTCTTCGTCAGATGTCTGCAAATGTCACTGGTGCAGAAGACCGGCATGAGGATGAAGTTCTTCTTCCGGACATCTATCTCAGCTACTCCTCGCAGGGTTTTGTTCCTTACATCGACAGCAATCACCAACTCCAATCTTTCCAGGAGCTTGATGTCGTTACTATGAATAAAGTAGACAATATCGTCGTCGTCTATGCTTATGGTGGGGTATGCCGTGAAGAGTTTCTCTTGCTGCAATGTTTGCGTGGTGTCGCTCCCGCTCAGCTTAGAGAGCAGGTTCCAATGGTGTGAGTCGCTGGTGACATCTCCGACTTGAGCTTCACAGTCAGTCTGCCAGTCTGCTGTGAATGATGAACCAACAACCGGTAATGGCGGTATTGGCATGCTCCATGTTGTGGCCAGATTTCCATCTCCACGAACTTGATCGTGTCTTTGTGCCGAGTGATGGCAACACCCCGGATATAGTTGGGCTCGCATTGCCGCAGGAAGCGCCCCATGTTTCCCCTTGCTGGCATGGGCAATGGGATGTCTTGAAACACCATTGGTTGTCGTCCCCCGAGCACGTCACAGAGGAGGATGCCACGCCATAGGTCCACCCAGGCGACGGTGCCACGCTCGCCGCCGATTGCGAGCGTCTTGGATGTCTTGTGGTACAGCGGCACGTCGTCGTCGTCCTCCGCCGCATCGGCAGCAGCCGGTAACGGGAGAAACTTGTCCCTCACAAGCTCCTCCAATGACATGGGCATGGTGATCCATCCCTTTGAATCGGAGGAGCGGTACAGGTGGAGCCGGAAGTCCCACCTGATGATGGAGTCCTTGTTGTTGCCCTCGTTACACTGGGCACCAGCTGCTGATGGCGGCGACGGCGTACCAGGCGCCATCCTCGCGGCTGAGGAGGGCGGTTGCAGAGTTGCGGAAGCACATGGGGTATGGGTTTGGGAGCAGATCAAGGCGATGGGCTCGCGGCATGTATACGAAGTAGTCCCATGACTGTGCGTCTATTGGCGCGTTGATGTCCAACGGGACGCGGAGGAGCACGAGGTCGGCGTCCGTGGCGACGACTCTGGGCAATGAGCGGTAGAAGACCAGGCCGGGGCAGTGGACGCACAAGTAGGAGAGTAGCGGCGGGCGGGCGGCGTGGAAGGTCACCTGGATCGGCAGGCCGCTGCTCGTGGCGCCCGATGCGGTGGTGGCGTTGGGAAGGTCGGCGACGTAGCACCGCAGGTCGAGGAGGACGGCGCCGTCGTGATCGTCGCACTCGGGAAGGGTAGGCGGGATCCGGGTGGCGGCGGCCATGGAGACGGAGAGAGCGACGAGGGGTTTGGAGCCGGATAGGAAGGAAACCTGAGAGACAAACAAATCTTAACTTTTTTTTTGTTTTGAGAACGACAATTCTCAACTTAGGAAAGCATGTATGCATTACAAATTTGCTTTTTGTCAAAGTTGCTTTTTGAAAATATTCCTTTGAACATATTCAACATAACTGTATGTTACTAGTACAAATGCCCGTGCATTGCACCTGGTGATAAAAGGGGCACAACCTGTTTCATGTGTCATGTTGCGCCATTTTTTATATCCAATTTTAATAAACGTCGATAAGAATGTGACATCTTTCGAAGAATAGTTAACATTTTTATGAAAATTGGAACTACTCCCTCCGTTCCTAAATATATGTCTTTTTAGAGATTTTAATATGGACTACATGTGAAGCAAAATAGATGAATCTATACTATAAACTATGTCTATATACATCTGTATACAGTTCATAGTAGAATCCCTACATGGATTTGTATTTAGGAACGGAGGAAGTATGAAATAACATTTTTTTTAACATATGTTTTATCGAAAAGAATGTTTACCTATGGTTTCAGATTTTTCTTTAGTCTTCCCATTATTATTATTATTATTATTATTATTATTATTATTATTATTATTATTATTATTATTATTATTATTATTATTATTATTATTGTTATTATTATTACTACTACTAGTACTACTACTACTACTACTACTACTACTATTATTATTACTATTATTACTATTAGTATTATTATTATTATTATTATTATTATTATTATATTGTTTGCTCTTTTTTTTTGAATTGCATCATGTCATTAAGTAATTCACACCATTCTAGAAACTATAAAGAATTGAAGAATTTAATTTGACTCCTCCTTCTATTTTATTTTTATTGTTTTTGTCAATTCCATTCCAACATTTCCCAAAATCCCATGCCTTTTCTACTTCAATATTGTCCTCCAAACTTTGCCACAAATTATTGCATCATTTAACCAAGCCCATTAAAAGTTTCATGGTTTTTGGGCACTTCTAACTCATACCTCTAGTTCAAATCCATTTGAATTAAGTTCAAATTAATCTGAATTAAAAATTCAAATTAATTTGGATTCAACTCTTCCAATTTGGGCGTGAAACTTCTTTTGTTGAGCTAATTATAAATCTTAGGCACTGCATAAAAGGTTTAAACATTTCCCAAACACTCTATCTATTTATTTTATTCTCTTTATCCTTCTCTCTATTTTCTGTAAATGGGGTAGAGAAAAAGAAGAAGAAGAAGAAGAGAGAGAGCACGCGAGCAGGCCAGCCCGACCCCCCGCTAGGCCCCAGTCTGGTCGCCTCCTTTAACCCTAGGCCCTAGCCTCACCCATTCTCATTGTCAGTTGAGACTTTCAATTCTTGGTAAATCTGGGTCAGTTGTTCCAACGCTCACTTTCCCTTGATTCTTGTTGAATACTTCTTTCCTTCTTTGGAGTACCCATGTCTGCTTGTTGATTTCTGAGACGACTTGGTGGTTCTCCAAGAAGCTTGCATACGTATATGAACTGGTAGGATTAGATATAAACAAGCGAGGTGGGACAGAACGGGAGGTTTCGATCCAAGTAGCTCGTGTACACGTTGATTCTGGCAAGCCTGCTGATGTACTCGTGACCCACAAAAGAAATTCCAGTAAAAAGCCCATCCGAG